TTTAACTTACCCTAACCCTAATTCTAGTCTAACTATAGCTTTAATCCTAACCCTAACCCTAATTTCATTTTACTATAAGGTGCACTATTTACTATGGGATGCACTATGTACAGGGGTGCACCAAATTATAAATCTCATAATTTATTTAAAGTTAGCTGTATAATAGTATTATCTAAAGTAGTATAGTCAGGAATATAAAAAAAGTTATATAATACAATAAAACATAAAGAAATGTTTGTATATGATAGAGTTTGTTGGTTATATTAATTTTGTATAGTACTAAATATATATATATTAAGTCATTTAAAAAAAATAAAATCTTGTGCTGAAAAAAAAAAATCTTGTTATAAAATTTGAGAATCAGAACTGTAAAAGTCTAATAAGTTAATTATTTAATATACAAATAAGTATGATAACTAAAAACTTATTTTTTCAACTTCTCTTACATTTCTAACAATATTCCTTTAAATAAAACTTGCTATATAATATTGTCAAACTGTAATCTAAAAAGTATCTAAATATTCAACAATTGGAATATTCCAAGATTTGATTGACTGAGTATGAATAGTCACATGTAGGTTTGGTTTTGTAATTTTTTGCTTAACAATTTTTTCAATTTTTAATGATAACCATTTCTTCTAATTGCCAATTCCTAATAATGCTCTTGCCAATATATAATCTGCTTCCTCACCTTTGTCAGGCCATGTCTATTCTTGTAAATTAGAAATTCTTGTTATTGTTCCTATTTTATCTTTTTCTACAAAATTAACTAAATTGTTATTTTGTTTAGATTGTATAAATAATATTATAATTAACAAACCTTGTAAATGATCTAGTGTCATATTTGCAACATGAGTTCCAGCAATATCTTAAATAGCATCTTGTATATTTTCATCTGATTCAATATTATAACCAAGTTTTACATATCTCTTTATAGCCTGAGAAATCTAAATAAAAAAATATAATAAATCAGGTTAATCTGACAAATTACAAATTATATAACATATTTGCGTATGATGTGAATCTATAGAAGTTTTAGCTTCACTAGCTTCTAAAAAAATCTATTTATATAGTTTAATTCTATACTATTCCTTCTAATATCCTATTATAACTATTAACTCAGTACAATGATAATGAGCTCTGTTATCTGATATAATAGTAACCTATTTAGATTTTTGTTCTAATGTTTCAAAAACTATATGAATTAATAAAGCAGTAAACCATACATCTTGATGTGTATTATTAGACTAGTAATCAAATGCTTAGATATTTAGTTGGTTGTGTTGTGTATTCTTAATATAGACTAATATTGAATGCAAGGTCTAGCCTTTTTTTCTAAAAAAATTTTTTTTTGTTTCACGTACACTTTGAAGTAAAATTTTCATTTTGTAGTCAACTATCAACAGTGCTCCATTTTCATCTAGCTCTTCTAAATTTGTTTTTACATGAATATTCAAATATGTTTTGCGAGCATGATGAGCTATCCACATTACTAGTTTTTGTTAATATTCATCAAGTTGTTCATGAAATTCTAACTCTAAATAGGTTTTTATTTTGACAAAAAAATTGAAAAGACTTTCACAATTTGTGCATGTTTCTAAATATTCAAATTCACAAACTCCAAATGCATAACATAAACAATGACTTATACAAGGATTATAAAATGCTATGCTATTTAATGTAATACTAAGTTGTTTAGAGTAATTATGATAAATATAGTGACGTAAAAGTTGCAAATTTGTCAACATTTCTTTCTATAAAATTATTATATTAGAATTTTTTTAAAAAAATATAACTAAAAATTTACATACCTTAATATCTTCCTAATTAATATGTGCTATAATAAGAACTTTAATATCACTAAATACTATATATCCACAATCATTACAAGTTGAATACAATCCATCTAAGTTTTCTCGATATACAAATTGATTATTTCTTAAACATGCTAAAAATGAAGTTCTACGTATTCTATTAGGATATTGTTCTAAAAATCATTTTCATAATACTATTTTATAGTCTTGTAAATATAGTATAGATTTTTTGGTTATAGTATCTGTCTTATAAGAACTCATATTAATGAATTCTTTGTCATTTATAAAGTGTTCAAACTGATTTAACATTTCTGTAGTAAATCTTTTATGTTGAATAATTGGTTTGTTAATCAATGGTACACTAGCTCTATTGATTCGTGCATATTTGTAAGATTCTGAAATAATATAACTACCAACCTTTGATTTATATAAAAAAAAATATTTATTAGTTATAATTAGTGAAAAATAGATATTTCAAACTAGTATTATGTAAACTTTCTCCCAAATTAATTTTTAGTTCTTCATAGCTAAAATCATTTGCTATTATTGATAAAATTCGCTATTTGCCATTTTGATTTTTAATATTGTTTTCAAGTACATGATTAAAACATGACCAAAATTTTTAAATTGAATTTGATATATGAATTGGAGTATCAATTAAAAATCTCAATTTATAAAGATTAGAAAGTATAGCTTTATCAATATTAAAATAAGATGATTTTGTTCAAAACTGAAACTAATATGTATTAAACTGTTATTTACTATTATTATTATTTTTTTTAAAAAAAATAGATATTGAATATATAATTATATACCTGTGATTCATCGTATGACTATAGAGTAATTTCTGTTGCACTTGTAGCTCTAAATATTGCATGTCAAGCTTTTAACTCACAATCACTGAATTCATAATTAGCTGAATATATTGTTCTTAAAGTTGTTTCGAATTCAATTATAGAATTCTCGGATTCTGCCTAATTAATAAACAATTCATACCAATTAATACTTGCTATTGTTCTTCATTTCACATAATAATTGAAGAGTTGTTGCATAATTGTAATATCTTTTTAATTTTTAACTGTACACAATGGAATTTGATATTGGCTTATAAGTTGTTAAGTAATCAGATAGTCAAGTCCAAATAGTTGAATACTAGTAAATTTTTGAATTAATCTTGTTTTTTGCCAAATATTATTTGGTGTTGAACCAATAAAATTTTTTTTAAGAATTGAATCCTGATAAATCTCAATAATACAATTAGTATTTTCTATATGTGAAATAATTACTACTTGTTTTTATTAATATATATGAATAATTGAAGTTTGAAAACCAAAACCTGCATAATTCCAATCTGAACATTTAGAACACCCAATTTTATATAAAAAATTTTATAATTATCTACTAAAATTGTAACCAGTATAAATTTTATATCTTTTTTTAATGTTTCAATTATAGTATCATTATTCCAACCCATAACTGTATGATCTGAATAACATGTATTATTATTAAAAAAATAGGTATATACTATAGAAATAGCTTTTGTTAGACTTGTTTCAATAGTAAAAAAAGTATTATATTAGCAAAAATAAACAGGAAGTAAAGCAGTATTTTCTGATCCTGTTTATATAGTAATAAAAAAGTCTCGATTATTAATACTAACTTTAGATTGCTGACCAAGACGAATAGGAAAAATCTTATTTTTGCTAGTATAATTCTACCAAAAACAAGAATAAGGTCTATAATGAAGTTTTGAAACAAGTGTTCCTAATGATATAAGGATTACTTTTAACTGAAAAGAATTTTTAGACATTTCAAATAGTGTCATTAAGAGATTTAAACACGTCTTAGTTATTTATTAATTGTCTTATCCTCAAAATTATATATAAAAATTACAAAATTTGTATCGATTATTCGTGAACTGCTACTTAAGCAGAAATATATACTGATAAATTTTACCTCTGATTACTTTTAAATAAATTTTTTTTATTAATTTATTTTTTATAAATCTAACTTATAAACTGTACTTATATAACAAATTATATATAGTCTAATACTAATTTAAAAGTCTATTTGCTATAGTATATATATAAGCATTGATTCCTACTTTTCTAAAACTAGTCTTCTTGAAATACTATTTCTCTGACATCATATAGAGTTAGGATTAGTATTTTGTTAACTGTAGGTATATATTTTTAGCAAATTATCATATATGTGATATTGAGTAAGTATCATGTTAGAGAAATAACTTATAGAAAATCATATTGTAACTATATATAAAGTAAGATTATTAACTATAATGATACAAAAATTATTTTTAAAATAAAAATAAGTTCTTTGTTAATATATTTAGAGAAATTTGATAATGACCAATATAATAACTATAATAATAACTATAATAATGATCAAAATAATAACTATGATAATAACTATGATAATAACTATAATAACAACTATGATAATAATAATAATAATAATAATTATGTTAATAATTATGATAATGATCATAATAATAATAATATTAGTACTATTAGCAAATGAAGTAATATTAGTAAGATATAAGATTTTTTTACAAAACTTGAATAGAAAAAAGAATAAAAAATAGCTAAATATATAATATCAAAGTATTAATATAAGAAGTTTTCTTGTGTAAAGAGAAGAACAACTAAATCCTTATAGTACTATTTGAAAAGTTATCATTAGATACAATATGCTAAAATAGCAGAATATCAAAAAAAAATACAAGATAAATATAATAATATTAAGAAAGCATTCAGAAAGGTGAATTTAGAGTTTTAGAAGTATTAGGTATGATACTATTAAATATAGTATCTATGTCTAATACAGATATTATATTTAATAGTATTATATTCTGAAATTCTTAGAACTATAATAAGTTAAATTTTTTACTTAATTCTCAAATATGAACTAATTTAAAAATTTTATTTTAGAATTTTCAAGAAACCTCTACTATATTATTTGCTAATATTCAAGATAGAATAAATATAGATCAATTTTTATATGATCTGTATAGTATTTTACTTTTTTACAAAAAATGAATATATATTTATTATTAAAGTTTTTTGATTTTTAATTAATATCTATAAATTTTTTTTTTTTTTTTTTAAAATAGTTTATATTGCTAAGCAGATTTTATTAGTTTGATATACAGGATCATATATGAGTAATTCTTTCAGTTTGTAATTATATGAAGAGTATACAATAAGCTATATATATAATTTTAGTTATTATCTATTTTAAATAGTTCACTGTATAGGAGTTAGACTACCTGATTAGTTCTATACTATACTATCATACTGTAATCTGCTTATAGATTATCTATTTAAATACTCTGTTCAACTAACCTATACTATTACAAACTAACATCACTATAATATCTAACTATTTAAGCTAACTAGCTCATTACAGATCTATTTACAATCTACAGCTTAAATCCTCTCAAGTTATATTATACTCAACTTATTATAAGTACTACAAAGCTAGTTAACCTTAAAGTATATCTACTAGAGTGATTTATATCATTTTATAGATTTATCTAGTTTAGACTCTTGTTATATTCATATGATTCTAGTTCCTATTGAGTTTTTAATGATATGTGTTATCAGATTTTTCTAGATATTTTATAAGATAAATCTTTTCAAATCTAGTTAGCTACTAAGCTAAGTTAGTATTATCAAACTATCTACAAAACAAACTTATTTGTATCTATTCTGATCTATATTCTTTAAAAAAATCTTTTTTCAGATCAAGTATTAGCCAGTATAATTATTGAAAACTATACTTCTTTACCAACTCAGAGTTTCTACTATACAGGTCCTCTGCTCATATATCTAATGCAGATTTATTCATATAATATTACTATCATATTTCTAATATCTAATTGACTTAGTACAATATCATTTTTTACAGAGTTTAATATATCCTTCAGGATTTTCTTTTGAGAATAAGCAGAGTTTTTTGTAAGTTGAATATATAAATCTAGATATTATTTAAATTTATTTATAGTAGAATTTAAATTCTAGATATATCATATAATAGTCTAATAACCTAACTACTATACTAGGTCACCAGACCTATCTATAAAATTTTTATAATATATACTTTAAAATAGTATATATTTTTTTATAAAATTTTAAAGACTATTAATTATAAAAAATTTATACTTAAATATATCATAAAATTTACTTAGGTGACTTCAAATTTTCTTAGGTCACATAAAATAACCTATTCTAATTAGCTAATTTTAGTAATTTTATATATTAAATTTTATGTAAAAAATTAAAACAAATATTTAAATTACTATATCTTGATAAGTTTTAATTCAATTTTAATAATTTTACTACTATTAGAATTATAAAAATCTACTCTACAACTTTACTTAGAATATTAAAAAATATTTAATTAGTAAATTTTTTCTAATTTAAAATACAAAAAAAATATACTATACAAGTCATATGAAAATTGATCTATATTCATCTTATTCTTAATAATATGAAACTTTGTGATATGTTTGTTATCTAAACTATTAACTATTAATACTTATTTACAATAATTAAAGACTTTGAGTTAATAGAAATTATATAATATTTGAATTTAACTATGTAATTAGTTAAAGCTGAAATAATAAAGAATATAATTATATTACTTTATAGTTTAGA